ATGTATTTTGGGGTTCTGTTGTTTGGTTTGTACACATTGAGGATTATTATGTCTTTCTGATAGATTGATCCTATAATCATTATGTTATATCCCACATTATAGTAATTTTGTTATAAAATATACTAGGTGTAAATACAGCCAATATTTTTCTGTCCTTTTACTTTCAATCTACTTATCTTGTTGAATTTGAAGTTTCTGATATAAAGTAGATAATATGGTTGTGTTTTTTAATCTACTCTGCCAATCTCTGTCTTTTGATTGGTGTATTTAGACCATTTACATTTCAGGTAATTGTTGACATGTTAGGGCTTAAGTTTGCCATTTTATTATTTTTGTTTGTTTCCTTTCGTTCTTAGTCTTGCTTTCCTGTGGGTTACTTGAACATTTTTAGGATTCCATATTGATTTCTGTATAGTGCTTCTGAGTGTATTTCTTTGTACAGTTTTGTAGTGGTCACTCTGGGCATTAAAATATATGTATGTGACTTATCAAAGCCTATGAGTATTAACATTTCACCACTTCTGTGAAGTGTGGAAGCTTAACTTGCATTTAGGTTCCTCTACCCTCCCACTTTTAAAATGGCATTGTCATAAGTATCAGATGGTGTTATAATTTTTGTTCAATTGTCAAATATAATTTATAAAACTCATTGTATGTACCCATATTTCTCTTTTCTATTGTTCTTTCTTCCTTCCTAATATTCCAATATTTCTTCCTTTATAATTTCTTTTCTGTTGAAGAACTTCATTTAGCCCGTCTTTAAGAGTAGGTCTGCAAGCAACAAATTATTTTAGTTTTCATTCATCTGAGGATGTTCATCTGATTCTTATTCATTCCTGAAGGATAGTTTCACTGACTACAGAATTTGCAGTTGGTAGCTTTTGTCTTTTAGCAGTTGAAAAATGTCCCACTTTTTTCTGGCTTCTCTAGTTTCATATGAAAAATTCATTCTCATTTGAATTTGTATTCCCCTATAAAATCCTATAGATAATGTGTCATTTACCTATGGCTGTTTTCAATATTTTTTCTTTGTCTTTAGTTTTCAGAAATTTAATTATGATGTGTCCTGGCATGGATTTCTTTGGGTTTATTCTCTTTAGGGTTTGCTCAGCTTTTTAAATCTGTAGGTTTGCATCTTTCACCAAATTTGGGAAGTTGTCAGCCATTATTTCTTCAAATACTCTTTCATCCCTGCTCTCTTTCTTCTTTCCTTCTCTGATTCCAAAGATATGAATGGTTGGCTTTTTTTTAAAAAAACTATACAGGTCCCTGAGGCTCTGTTCATTTTCTTTTTTAGTCAGTTTGATCTTGTTTTTCAGGTTGAGTAAATTCTATTGATCTCTCCTTAAGCTCATGGATTCTATCCTCTGTTATCTCCACTGTTCCATCCAGTGAGGCTTTAAAATAAAAATTGTTGTATTTTTCAGTTTGATAATTTGTTTGGTTCTTTTTATTATATCTTCTATTTCTTTCCTCAGAATTTCTACTTTTTCATTTGTCTTAAAATAATTTTGTATTTTTGAATAGATTTTATGATGGCAGCTTTAAAATCCTTGTCAAGTAATTTCAACATCTGATTCATCTCAGTGCCAATGTCAGTTGTCTTTTCTTATTCAAATTGTTATTCTCCTGGCTGTTGGTATTACAGGTGAATTTCTATTGCATCCTGAACATTTTGTTTAGTATGTTAGGAGATTCTGGGTTTTCTCTAAATCTTCTATTAACAGTCACCTTAATTTTAGTGTGCAGATCCTGGCCTACTTTTGTCAGCTGTGTTTCCAATGGAAGTTTAGGTTTGAGTCTTTGTGGTAATATTTTGTTCTGCTTGATTTATCTGATGCCACTGGAGTTCCCACTGGTTTCTGCTTGTGCTGCCTCAGAGGGTGGAAGGGCTTTCCCCAGGCCTGTTGCCCAGTGTTTCTCAGTAGGGGACAGTAGTCTCAAGCCTGAAAGGACAGAGGCTTCCCTGGCTGGTCCCTACTTTTGAGAGGGTCGCCCCTGCCAGTGGTCTTCCTGGGATGAGCCCTTGTTGTGGCAGGGCCTCTCTTGTTGAAGTCTCCTAGCTGCCCCAGTGTCTCTGGGTAGGAAAGGTCAGGGATGAAGAATGCTTCACTTAGCTGATTATTATTAGTGGAGGGTAGTGTCTTGATCAACCCCCCTTGCTGATACTGCCAGGCTCACCTCTTGTCAGAGGCCCTTGTTTGATCTGGGGAAGAAATGAGCCTACCTGGGCTGCCTTCTGTTGTTAGGTTGGGGGTTAGGAAATACCCAACCTGGACTGCCTTTTTCTCTTGTTACTTAAGTCCTGGGGTCCCAAACCTTTGGTTGCCTCTTGCATTATTTCCAGGCTTTATCATTGTACTTAGTTGGAAGGAGCAGTGAGGAATGAGTCTGCATCTTGTCTGGACCAGAAGCGCAATCAATAAGATTTTATACTACAAATTCTAAAGGGAGACAATATTTTAGAGTAAGTCTTGGGTTCTGATAGCCTACATACTAGCTTGGTAACATAGACACAGGACTATCTAATATTACAGATACAGGATTATTTAAGCCACATAAAATAAATTTAAAGCTCCAAGTTCAAGGCCTGGCACAGATGAGCCACTCATTAGGTATTCAATCTTTCCCTAGAAATCACCTAGTTCAAACCACCTGTTTTAAACATAAGGTAACAAAGTCCTTGAGAAATGAGGGAGCCTTTCAGATGTGCTGTGACTTACATATACTCAAGTGACATTTTTTTCCCCAATGCCCAAAAGCATACTCTGTCAATTCTTGATTATTTGGTTCCTTGCTTCTATAAAGTAGTTCTGGTTCAGTTGGACAGGATTTGAAGATTTAAACTAATAATACCAATTTATATTTGCAAAGCACCTCCAAATTTACAAAATGCTTTTGCAGTGACAATTTCCATTTGTTGCCACAATCACAGTGTGAGACTAGCAAGGTAGAGATTATTATTGTTTTGCAAACCAGGAAACACAGTAAGTGGGGGGTCTGATACTCACCCAGAAGTGATTTCTCATTCACGGCGTTCCCTTGACACTTTTTCCTCTGTGAAACCAGACCTTTACTGGGTAACAGGAGGCTGTGGAAATAGGGCACCCAGCTTGCCATGTGCTTGGTTATAGCTAACACAGAGGGTTCTTGGGGCTATAGAGTAGATGGATTCCAAGTTCAGGCTTATGTCCCATACACAGTAAAGTACACTGAGAACTGGAGCTCAAATTACCCTTAGACAGTTTGTTGGTATAAAAAAATCTTCCCAGATAGATAGAATTATCCATCTGCATAGGTCACTTCAGGGAAGGGCATATCTTAAATCAGAAAGGAGGTTGCTGAATTCCAATAAAGGGAAATAGGGTATAGTCCAGGAAGACAACATTGAAATTTATCGTAGGAAAAGAGCTGTAGCCTGGATAAACAATAGGGAGTTGGTTGAATAAACAATAGCTTATATAGTGAGATACTATGTAGCTACTAAAAATGATATTGATGTATATTTATGGACATGGAAACGTTTAAATTAAGCAAGAAACTTATATAAGAGTGTGAAGTATGATCCTATTTTTGTTATCTATGCATGGATATAAATTTATCTTTTCATAGAGGAATTATGATGCTTATTTTTTTGGTTCTCTGTATTTTAAAAATATTATATAATGAACAATGATTTCTTGGTTAATTATAAAAGAGAGACATAGCCTAATCCACTTGTTATTAACTGAATGTTTGTGTCCCCCCAAAACTCATATATTGAAATTCTACCCCCCATACAAATAGGAGATGGGGCCTTTGGGAGGTGATTAGGATTAGATGAGGTCATGAAGGTGGAACCCTCATGAATGGGATTAGTGCCATTTCAGGAGTCATAAGAGAGCATGTTTCTCTTTCTGCTCTCTACCATCTGAGGTTACAGCAAAAAGATAGTTTCCTAGAACGCGAACTCTCACCAGACACCAAATCTGCTGGCAACATGATCTTGGGACTTCCCAGTCTCCAGACTGTAAGAAATAAATATTTGTTGTTTATAAGCCACTCAGTCTCTGGTACTTTGTAACAGTAGCCTGAATGACTAAGAAATTGTATTGTAATCTTATTGTATTGTAATCTGATTGTCTAAAGACAATGTGTCAAGAGTAGGAAGGGGCCTGAATGGAGCTGAGGAAAAAAGAAGCCTAAGAGTAAGAATTGGTCAGTTTAATCAGCAGCAACAGGATTGAAAGTAGGAGGAGGATGACTAATGTATTTTCATTGCTTTTTTTGTGTGTCGGGCACTTTACCAGGTAATACTTTACATGTTAGCTCAGTTAATCTGCAAAACCACCTTGTGTAGTAGTACAATTATTACACAATTTTTCAGAAGAGGCCTCTGAGGCTCAGGGAGGGGAAGTGACTTACCCAAGACCATATAGGTAGTTAGCTAACGTTAGCTAGTAAACGGCAAAGCCAGAACTAGAACCTAAGTCTCTCTGTGTTCTACTCACTGGAGGCCCTGGGCATGTGAGTTCCCAGAAGGGGAGGCTCTGCTATGGGGCAAGGAGAGATCACTGGCTTATTTTGCAGCCTGGAGGAAATAACTCCTGAGTTCATGAGGCTACATGTGTGAGGATTCTTGCTGGGCAGGGGGGAGAAGGGACCCTGGAGGAGGGGATGAAGAGCCTGATCCCTGGACAGGTCTATCTCCCAATGTGAATGAACAAACTGGCATTCAGTCAGACAGCACACTTTTCTGAGTTAAGTTAGAGTCAGTCTTGTCCTCACAACTGATCAGATCCATGGCAGCTAGACCCTGTACTCCATAGTGCTGTCCAGAGCCAGGCATCCTCTCTGATACCTGTGTTGTTTTATTTTAACATCAACAGGGCATACTTTAACCTACTTTTTAATAAGATGGTTCAGCCATTCAGGCTCAGACAGGGCACCTTTTTTTGTTTTTGAAGATATGCCACTTTTCCTTTTATTTGTAGCTATTACACAGCAACATCACACACATAAAAGATTGAAGGTTTTTAATTTTAGACCAAAAAACTGTATCAACCAAACATCTTCAAACTGGAACACAACTGTAGAAGGGGGCCAGTGAGCAATTTGGCCCTGGACTAAACAAATGGCAGTGAACATCCTGATGGGGTCACACACCCATACCCCAGTGGTATGACAGGTTCAAGATAACACACAACAGGAAGTTTAAGGTTAATCATACATACTGTTGTACCTTGGCAAGTTCAGACTTGAACTGCTGTGGCAGTGTCATTCTATAAACCTGGGGCTAATGAAAAGTCAGGTTCTCAAAGAACCTACGCAGCTTGTATTCTGATTTATACATCAGGTGCATGATGTCCAAAGCAGACGTGTGGCTAACATTAACACACTACAGACAACATTGGTCATATAAATGAATCCTACTTCTAAAGCTGCCTGATCAATACATCCCAGGGAAAAGGCCAATTGTTTCACCATCACTTTGGTTTGTTATCTCTGGCTTAACATACCTTAAAGTCCTCATGGCACTTAGCTGGACAATATCAAAGTTAGAGGTCTAGCACTAAAAGAGATTTTTATTCTTAGATAAATTCTCTTCATCTGAATGCCCAAATGACTTGTGAGACTACATGCTACTAAAGTTAGAGTAAACACATATACATACATAAATACTCTTACTATAAGCTACATTCCAAAAAGACTGAACATGTTAGCTGTTCCTAAGCCTGAGGCACTGTTAACTAGAATACAGAACATGCTCTGTTTCAGAGCTAGAATATGTTCTCTGCATGCCTATTGGCATTCACAAATTACAGAAACAATGGTGTCTGCAAATGTGAGTGAGGCGGAGATGGTGGAGATACTTTATGTGAACCAGTGTGTCCAATTGCATGTGAGGTGGGATCAGTGACATTGGTATTTGAACAGTGAACACCTAGTGACTTTGGTGTACATATTCTCACCTTACTGGTGAGGGGTCCAATGATGTTTCAGCTACAAAGAGGCAAAGAAGGGGCTCAAGACTCATCTGCCTTAGGGACTTATTAAGGGAAGAGAATACCACCCACCATCCTTAACCCTTTAAAAGAAAAAAAGATCCAGGACCACATACCCTATCAGAGAAAAGTCTTGACAAAGAAAATACGCAACTCAGAGAATTCTTAATGAAAGAGTTTCTGCTAATGTAAAAGATAGCCTTAAAAGAAAATACATCAGCCACAGTACTACCTGGAAAAGAGGACATTTTCTGGACCACATGAAATCTTAAATAACTAGAATGCTGGTCATCCTGGACTGGCATATGCTCCTTTGCTTAACTTGCCAGGTATATTTCTGTTTTACCTTCTCTTCCCTCCTGCCCTCCCCGACTCACCTTTTCCACAACTGATCTTCTGTCAGGGCTGGTGTAGGGCCCTCTAAAGAGTCAGAGTACAAAGCTACACAAATGGTTGAAAGGCAATAAAGCTTTGGAAGAGAAAGAGGCTTTCAGTCCCCTCCCCCCAAAGCTTTAGAAAACACCAAGGGACAGAGCACTGGACTTTGGTTTCACACTGGCCAAATTCTGAACATGTTTTTGTTTAGCCCCAGCAAGACACACGGGCCTAAAGCAGACACTTGCTTTTAAAGCACACTTGCCTTTTGTGAAGACAAGTCACAAATGAGAGCATGTAACACGCTTTTACTTGCACTGACATCTAAAGGAGACATGGGCTGCCATGATTGGTAACAAAACCAATACTTCCTATTTAAGGGGAAGGCACAGACTGTTGGTCTCACAGCCAGGGTATCAGAGAAGACATGTTCAGTATGGCTTGAACATTACTTTTTTTGCTTTTCTTTTTTGCCTTGGAAAAGCTTCCAGGCTGCCATCAAATGCTTTGAAAACAGAACTGCCTTTAAAACGATAACAAACTAATAGTCCTTTATAACCCCAAATCTTTTCTGTTGTCTTTTGTCTGTTTGGTGTCACCTAATAGCCAAACGAATTTTTTTTCACGTTATATAAGAAAAATAAGCCCAAAGGGAAAAGTTTAAGGCTTAATCCATGTCTACTTTTTGTTTTATTTTAGATGACTATATCAAAAGTCAGGTCTCGATTTGGCACTTAGAAGAAAGTAAACATATTTGGTTGGAATCCTATCTGCCTGTACTATACATAGAATTCTGGGAGGGAGTGGCCTGAGGGTGGAGGAAAGATTTGGTACAACAGCTATCACTAAATCATACACACTGGGAATTAAGAGAGAAAGTGAGAACAATCTTTCTAGGTACAAACCAATCTAAAGTATAGTATACCCATTTTGAGAGAAGTATTTTTCTTAAAGGTAATTTACATTTCCCTGTGCAACTGTTTGAAAAAAAGCCATTTTATGAAATGCTATCCTAGAAAGATTTCCTGGTGGTATATCAGAGTTTAATAGCATCAGGAAAAGATGTTATGTGTTTAATAAAAGCCAGTATGTAACAAAGATCTGACATAGTTATTAAACTTCTCCTTCTGCTAAATTGGGTCAAGCTTAAATATTTAGCAATTTGGTTTGAAAAGCGCCCCTTAAAAAGATTTGGATTCTTTTGGGTCAGAAGGGTTCAGGGAAAGATCTTACTTTCAGTGAAGTATGAGGTGTGTCTCAGACAAAATGTGTCCATACATGTTGACAGGAAATGACAACTGACTTGGTAGTAACTGAACACAATTTCTAGGGTGACTTTCCAAAGATAACTGTGCCCAGTACATGCACCATAAGCTTTACATTCTTGCCCTCTTAGCTCTAAATAGAGTTTCAGGTTTTCTTTCATATAGCAAACCATATCCCTGAATCTATTCTTTAAAAAGTCAGACCACTAGCTGTTAACTGAGGTTGGTTATTTGGTTATTTTATTTATTAACAGGAGGAATCTGTCATTCTATAAACTAAGAAATAACTAATGAATTTAAAAAAAAAAAAAAAAGGTGTGCAGAATCTGAGCATGGCCACAACACAGGCACAGGGCCTGCCTCATGCTTAGAAAAGAGAAGTAGTGACCCCAGGTCCATGAAACTTGTGTAGAAAACAGGCAGAGGTCAGGTTAGTGGATGAGACAGTGGCAAGGGGTTAATTGCTTTCCTATTTAAGTGGGGCAGTCACATGAGAATGGAATTTCTGCTCAGGGAACTGGAAGGGTAGGACAGTAACATTTCTTTTACAGCATAGGTGCTATATGAAGGTATGAAATGAAAGCCATTAATAGATCATCTTTTCTAGTACACCTAGCAACTTTCCTTCAGGAGTCTATTCTCTATTGCTAGGCTCCTGACTATTGATAGCCACTGGATTTCTACCAGTACATAAATATTTGGATTCCACTGAACTTTTTTCTTCTCTCAGAATTTCAAACCCAACTGTGAAACAGGGAAGTGTTTGGTGTTAAGAGTAACTAGGGGATCTTCATAAGGCTTTCCTTAGCTCCATGTATGTTATATACAAGCAACAATGGAACATGTTGGAGAATAAAAATAATAAAAGACCAAACAAATTGACCTCACAGATCTTTAGGCTGAAATTGATTCCATGGACTTAGATCATTAACAAAATAAGACACCCTTTTTGAAAATTTTGTTTTTGCTTTTGGAAATACCAGTGTGGCTCTTTACCACTTCTCAGGTTATAACTGTATTGAAAAGACCTTTTCACTGTTGATTAATTTTGTTTTGGATTTAAGAAATAAGGTTTGGTACTATGTGCTGCCCTTGTACAGGTCTGTAGAAATAAACCTTTGATAGTAATTTTATTTGCAAAGATTACTATGTCTTGCCATTTGTCTTTTTCCTTTCCCCAAAACAACCTTAACACACTATATCTGGAATATCATGCTAGTTAATAGATTGTAAAATTCAGATTGAGATATGGGAGAAAGCCCTGGGTTTAATAAAGCAAGACCCAGAATAGATTCAACTGTGGCAGATGATTAGTACTGTCATTCTCTTTGACAACTTCCTTCACAAAACCAGGGTTAGATGAAGCCTCCAAATCAAAATTATTTGCACAAATCCCAATTTTTTCCAGAAGTAAGAGTCAAACAACAACTGGCAACATCTGATGATTTAGGTTGTATAAGCCAAGGACCAAATTGTGGGAAGAGGGGGAACAAAGAAGATACAATAGGAAATCACCTTAGTCCATTAAAATTACAGAAACAAGGCAGCTATCAAGAAAAGGTAAGTAGAAAAATGGCCCATATTTATAAATGTAAAAGACTCAAATGAATTAGTTCTTTAAAAACACAATTAAATCAGCTACCAAGAGGAGGTAAGTAGAAAAATGGCTCCAATTTACATATGAAAAAAAGACAACCAAAATGATTTAGAGTTCTTCCTCTAAAGAGGAAGGTTCTTTCTGGTCCACAGTTTAGCTAGGGGTAAGAAATAAAGGAACTATCCTGGTTCTTCTCTCCCACTTCTAACACTTAAATTAAAAGGCACTTCTTTTCTTACAAAGAAAAGTAACTAATAAGGTGATCCTTTAGAGACGTTTGTGTTTACAACTGGATGTGGCAGTAACAGAGATGGCTCTTTCACTAACGCATATCATTTTTGAGCTTAAACCAGGCACGGAGTATTTGGAATACACATCTTAGGTGAGGATCTGGATTCTGTTGGCAACAGAAATGTTGACAATATATTGCATGACCCAAACTTCCTGAATCCTACCTGACTCCAGCATGTGGAAGTGGGTAAATCATAACTGAATATCTAATAGGAAAGTGTACAGCAAGTGTATCAACCCCAAGGGGAAAATCTAGTGTTTAAACAACAAGGAACACATATCTTCTCCCAGGGGTATTTGGGCCTGCTATAAGAATGAACTGTTTTCCCAAAGTGTACATTAGCACAAGGTGATAAACCTACTAGATTTTAAAAGTAGTGCCAATTGTATCTAAAAATCTACAAACCTGATGTCATGCCTAGAGAAGCAAAACCACTGGTCTTCATAAAAATACCTAAGAAGGAAAACTCAGATGGGCAAATAGGCCACGTGTAAGCCTGGGTCTAAAGCACTGAGATTTTCAGTTGTCTTCTGATGTTGAGAAACTATTAATCAATGTTATTAATTCAGACCCTACTAATTTGGAATTGATCATTTTAGAATGTAGCAGATGCAAGTTTACCTATGGGCTATCTGTGAAAAAAGGAGTTGACTAAGTGAGTATTACAAGACCTAGCTGGGCTGTGGGTTGAGGAGAACAAGTGTTGTAATTTAATAAAACTATTTCCTTATATGTTCTAAACCACCAAGCACCCATGCGCCCATGCTAAGAGTTAAAGATCATTTTCATTTATTTCTCAGGCAAATGTTGGGGTCTCTATTGGCAATAATGTTAGCTTACATCCTATGACTAAACATAACTGGAAGTAAAACTTTCTTTTAAACCCTTCTGCAATTCAGTTATCTGCCACACACTGTCTCTCCATCCCCTCAACAGCATCTTAGTTCTCCACTGTGACAATATTTCCACTTTGTTCTCAAGCTAAAGCAATGAGGGTGGAAAAGTAGAGGAGGCTGATTATTTAAAAAAAAAATGGAATAATGGAACCAGCCTAATATCTCAGCTGAAAGGCAACATTTCTAAAGTTAAATCCCATTCTAGAACAATAACATGTTCTTTCTTTTGCCTATGTTCTGGGCTGCTTGGCTTGCATATACTGGTCACTTAATCAGTAAAGGCCCTAAATCCCATTCCAGACTTTTAATGGGAAGAGAGGTGCCCTGGTCTCACCCATTTAAACCAACTGGAAAAGCATAACCTTCTTTGGAACAAGGATCATTGTGGGTGCTGCAAGCGCACCTAGTATGGAAGCAGATGAGTAGCTTACTGTTGCTTGGAATAGTCTGCCTCCTTGATGGTGGCCTTGGAGATGCCTATGTCCGCAGAGATGTCCATGTGCCCAGAGAAGCCCATGGCCCCAGAGATGCTGATGTCCCCAGAGAAGCCCATAGCCTCAGAAATACCTGAGTTGCCAGAGATGCCCATGGCCCCAGAGATGCCCTTGGCCTTGGAGTTGCCTGTGTCTCCAGAGAAGCCCACATCCCCAGAAATGTTTATGGCCCTAAGGCTGCCCATGATTCCACAATAGTCACAGTAGAGATCTGCACACTGGCTTTTTACTTGATCCATCTGAGCTCGGAGGCCTCCTTCCCTGGACAGGGTACCATTCTCCATCAAGGTATTCAGGTCTCCATCGATACCCATAAAGCCAAGAGGATTGGTCAAAGGACTTCCCAGATGCTGAGATAATAAATTCCCTAACTGAGAACAGGTACAGACTTCTGGTGGCTCATCATGACCTTTCAGTTTCTGTCACAGGAGTAAGAAATGGTTGAAAAGAATTAGAAACAGGAAAAAAACTAGGCAAATACCACATTGACCTGCAGGAATCTTACCTGCTGTCACTTACAGGATAGCAAATGACCTTTTGTCCCCTCCTTACCCCCAAATGTCTTTTCTTTATCATTTGACATAGTGCTTTAAAAGCCCTACCATTAAAGATCCTCAAGGGTCTTGTATGTATAAAAGTCCTCTTTTCTGATGAACGCAATTTTATTACTGGGAGCAGGGAAGGCAATGGAGAATATCACTAACATTTATTGAATACCTCTATGTGCCAGTCTCTTTTCCTATAGTATTTTCTTTTATACTTACAAGAATTCTATTAGTTAGGTATTAGATGTAGTTTACAGATGAGAAAACTGAGGCTCAGAGAATTTAAGTAAGTCACCCAAATTCATACATTTAGGAAGTGGTAGAGCTGGCATCTGATCCTGCCTCTTCTTAATGCCAAAAGTCTATGCACTGTCTACCACCTCATGCTACCTCCAATGGATATTTTCGCTTTCAAGGATAACACAATGATTCACTGATACTTTACAACAATGATTCTTAAGTTTTTGGGGATCATAGACACCTTTGACAATATGAAGAAAATGATGGATCTTCTTCTCAGAAAATTGTATGCATGCACATGTGTGTACATGAGACAGCACACACACTGTTTTAAGGTAAAATTTCAGGGGCTTCACAGATCCCCCAATGGGCATCTGTGGACAACTATGGGTTTATGGACTCCAGTTAAGAGCTCCTGCCTTAGGGTATAGGCATATCATTTTTATTTTCCTGGAAATCGCACATATAAAAAAAAAACAGTGACAGCACTTGGAGAGAGGAACTGAATGGGTAGGTATCTGGGGGAACCTTTAAACTTTTCACTTTGTACATTTTTGTATTCTCTATATTCTAACTTTACACTTGTACTGCCTTTTTATAAGTATCAGCAGGGTTATCTGGGTAATAATATTATGGACCAGTTTTGTTTTTATTCTCTGTATTATGAAAAGAATTTTAATAATTGTTATGTACATATTTTAAAATGAAGCCTTACATACTCATTTACTTTAGAATCAGAGAGTGATATGATTCTATGTAGAATGAAGCTGATTCCCTCTCAAGAATTAGGCAAGAATAAGTGAGAAGGCTGGATCTAGAGTAGGGACCTGCTCTGGGGGACTGGAGAAGGCTGCTAATAACTAAAGGAAGAGGCAGGAGACCCTAGGAAAAAGTTACCTTACTTCTCAGTTCTGCTTAGGGCTTGATCCTCCTGGGGCTGCTTGTTTCCCTTATTTCCTTTGATTTTAAGTCACCCTTCAGTTTTGCCTCTTCTTCTTCTTCTTCTTTTTTCTTTTAAATGGAACGAAGTAACTGACTATTGCCTCCCAAGAGGACATTCACAAGTTTGGGATCTGATATAATCACAACACATTTATTTTCATAGTAAAAGGACATTTGTTTACTTACCTTATCTGGCCTAAAGTAGGTCCACGCCCAGTTCCTAAACAGCATACCCTTTCCAAGAATTATTTTCTAAGAGGTACCCCTCCCTCTCCTTCAAACACACCCTTAGGGATCCATAGATTCCAGAAGCAGCTCAGCATTTTCCATATTTTGAAAGGAAATCCTTGTTGACTTGTTTAACATGTAGTTAACAACAAGTGTCTGACTTTGGTTTTGCTAGTATCATAATGCAAAATCATCACATGTAGCATGACCAGTCAATGAACAAAGTTTGAAATCTACATGGGAAGGAAATGAGAATTTTTATAAGGTTTTCCTAATTGGAAATATAAACAATTTCATCATTCTTATCAGTACACTGACAAGAGATTTTCATGTATTGAGGTATATGGGGTAACTATTCGGGTTCAAAACTGATTCAAATTGAACTAAAGAAGCCTGGCTTATGGCCTATTGAACATACATTGTACATCTGCTTTAACTATTAAAGAATGCACTTAAGATAAGAATGCATACTTCCCTTCCTAAGCTCTATTGGTAACGTCCTAGTGGTAATGCCTGTATTAGTCTATTTCTCAACATCAGGGTCATGTTGACCTGCTAACAACTGAATACCTCTTTAAAACTTTGAAAGTGTATCCTGGGTGTGTTTAATGCATGTTTGTTGTTCTAAAAAGCTCCAAGATTGTACTGAAAACCACGCTTCTCCAGAAAACTTTCTAAGGCCATCCCAGGTCATAATCCTCACTCTGGCTCAAGTAAAACTCACCTTATTTCTCTTATCTATAGAACAGTTATTGGTTATTTTGCATCAACAACACCCAAGATATTATTCTTATTCTCTTGATGGATAACAATTGCCAGTATAATTTCCCTGTCATCCCCTCTTCTTCCTCCTAATAATTCCAACCAGATCAAAAAAGGAACCGACCTATTTGTTTAACTAGCTGAGTGTGATATTTACTACTTTCTATGGGAAGTAAGAAAGAGTTGTGCCTTAGAGCTTTGTAGACACAGGACACCTGGAAGCCATAGAGTATAACAAGCCTGCCAGGAAGCTTCTCACAAGTACCAATTCAACTCCAAATGGGCTGGGCCTACCCAGAAGGGGCAAGAGGATCTCCTAAGACTTTTCTCCTCACCTTTTCCAGTTTGTGCACATCCGCCTCCAGCATTGCTCTCTGCTTCTTAATTTCCAGGAGGCTCTCTAACATACTCTGCTTGGGCTGCAGCCCTCTGTCAAAGCGGTTATACATCCCACACCAGAACCTTGAATAAACAAAAGGAAAAAAACAGTGCGTTAGTTTAGCTGGAGGAATAGATTACTCATGTTTTCCTTGTGCCAAAAAAATATTAGCCTGAAAGGGGGGCAGATCTCAAAAGTAAGGTAATTTTGATGACATTAAAAAGACTGGACACAAAGTTCCTAGCAGAAATATCTCTGCTGAAAGAGATACTTTGGACTTAAGCAAATTTGAGCTTCTTTTTAAAAATTAAATTAAACTTTTTATTTTGAGATAATTACAGATTCACAAGCAGTTTTAACAAATAATAGGGAGTGACATCAAGATGGCAAACTAGGAAGCTCCAGGCCCTTGTTCCCCCTGGAAACACTAAACAAACCATAGATGGACTGGAGTAGCTTTGTGGGAACTCTAGAAATCAGCTAAGAAGCTGCAGCGACCAAGTGAATGCCTATGTGAAGAAAAAGCTATACCCAAGAAACTAAGAAAAAGCTATACCCAAAATGGTACAAATATTCACAATGCTTTTGCTCATCTTTGCCCCACCCCCCTCCTCAGTACAGCATGGTACGATTGAGAGGAAGGTGCCCAATTCCCAGTTCCTCCTTCAGGATAGAAGGAAAAGAATGGAAGTTTCTTGCAATGCTCTGGCTTGTCTACAGGCACCCTGAGGGATTCATTTTTGTCTCACCCAACTTGGAGCACTGACTGGAATGGTGGCATAGTTTGCATATCAAGTTGGAGGTTACTCAAAGCAGTGGCAGTGAGAGCTGCAGGAGGTCGGCAGACCCACGAGTGCTGAGTGCCTGGAGGCAAGTGATTATGGGCAAATAAATAGAAAAGAACTTCCAAGCCTTCTAAGAAGCAGGGCTAATAATCTTAAGGAAATTTAATATATTTAAAAGCAACCAAGTATATTGGGAATGGGAATAAAAGCACATGCACAGGCCTAGGGAAGACACATCTTCAGAAAAGGTTTGAGTTGACCCTGATCCTTTAAACTGGGCAAATTAGTGTAGGCCTTCCCCTGCAATGGAGCAATTCCTCAAAGACTGGGAGAAGTAGCTGGCTTTTAAATGCCAAAATTTCAAGAAAAAAAATGACAAGGCATAAAAAGAAACAGGGAAACATAATCTATTCAAAGAAACAAGATAAATATCCAGAAACTGACCCTAAAAAAACTCAGGTCTCTAGCTTACTTGACAAAAATTTAAAACAACTACTTTAAATATGCTCAGTAAGCTCAAAGACGACAACATGGACAGACAAATAAACAAAATAGGGAAACTGATTTAGGAATAAAATGAGAATATCATCAAAAAGATAGAAATGATTTTTTAAGAATAGAACGAAATAAGAATTCTAGAGTTGAAAAACACAAAAAATGAATGGAAAAATTTACTAGAGGGGTTTAACACAAATTTAATCAGGCAGAAGAAAGAATCAGCAAACCTGAAGACAAGTCTCTTGAAATTATTGAGCATGAGGAACAGCAACAACAAAAAAAATAAAGAAGAAAAGTGAGCAGAGCCTAACGGACTTATGACATACCACTAAGTGAACCAATATAGGTATTCTGGGAGTCCTTGAAGAAGAAAGAGAGATAGGAATGAAGAAATAGCCAAAAACTCCGCAAATTTGAGAACAGACATACAATATAAGAAGCTCAATGATTTCCAAGTAAGATAAATTAAAGATCCACAATGTGACATGTTAAAATCAAACAACCAAAGACAGTTTGTCAAAGACAAAGAGAGAATCTTGACAGTAGCAAGAGAAAAGTGATGTTACATACAAGAGAGCCACTAAAGGATTATTAGTGGATTTATCAGCAGTAACCTTGCAGGCCAGAATGCACTGGGATGATATATTTAAAGTGCTAAAAGAAAAACAGTCAGTTGTGAATATCTTATCCAGAAAAACCGTCCTTCAAAAATGAGCAAGAAATTATGACATTCAAAGATAAAGAAAAGTTGAAGGAGTTAATTACCACTAGATCTGCCCTAGGAGAAATGCTAAAGGGAGTCCTTTAAGTTGAAACAAAAGGACACTAGACAGTAACTCAAAGCTATACAAAAATATAAAGTTCTCTGGTAAAAGTAAACACACAGGCAAATATAAAATCTTGCACAATTGTAGTTTTGATTCTTAACTCTACTTTCAATTATTTTATAGGGTTTAAAAGACAAAAGTATAAAGAATAACTATCAATCTATGTTAATGGGTATACAATATATAAAGATGAACTTTGTGGGATCAATAATGTAAAGTGTTGGGGGTCAGAGGTACAAAGGAGTAGAGTTTTTGTATGTGACTGTAGTTAAGATGTAGTAGTTTTCTAGGGCTGACAAAACAAAGTACCACAGACTGGGTGTCTTAAACAACAAAAATTTATTTTGTCATTGTCCAAGATCAAGGTGTCAGCAGTGTTGATTTCTTCTGAGACCTCTCTCCTTGGCTTGTAGATGGCCATCTTCTCACTCTTTCTTCATATAGTCTTTTTTTCTGTGTGTTTCTGCATCCTGATCACTTCTTCTCATAAGGACACCAGTCATAATGGATTAAAGACCATCTATATGAATCTCCCTTTATCTTAATTATTTCTTTAAAGGCACTATATCCAAATACAGTAACATTTGAGGTACAGGAGGTTAAGACACTAACATGAATTTTTTGGGAGGGCACAATACAGCCCATAACACGTTATCAGTTTAAAATAGACTGTTATACCTTTATGATGTTTCATGTAATCACCATAGTAATCACAAAGGAAATATCTATAGAGTGTACACAAAAGGAAATGAAAAAAGAATCACAATATGTCATTGAAAAAATCAACTAAACACAAATAAAAGTAGTAATGAAGGAAATGAAGGACCCTTTGTCCTTCATTTAGCTAAGGCATATAGAAAACAAATGACAATAAGTCCTTCCTTATCAGTAATTACTTTAAGTGGCAAATTAAACTCCCCAATCAAAAAGCATATATTGGCCCAATGAATGAAAACAAAACACCCAGGATTCAATTATATGCTATCTATAAGAGACTCACTTTAGATTTAAGGAGATGCATAGGTTGAAAGTAGAAGGATTGAAAATAATATTCATCCAAGAAGTAACCAAAAAAGAGCAGGGACAGCAATACTAATATTAAAAAAATACATTAAGTCAAAAACAGTTAAAGAGACCAAGAAGGACATTATATAATGATGAAATGGTCAATTCACCAGGAAGACATAACAATTATAAATACACATGCACCAAACATCAGAGCTCCAAAATACATGAAGCAAAGAGTAAGAAAACTGAAGTGAGAAATGGCTCTACAATAATAGCAGGAGACTTCAATACCTTACTTTCAGTAATGGATAGAACAGACAGAAGATCAACAAGGAAATAGAGGAGCTGAACAAAAATATAACCCAACTGGACCTAACAGATATAAACAAAACATTCCACCTAAAAACAGAAGAATACATATTTATTTTAAGTTCACATGGAAGATTCTCCAGGATAGACTATATGTTAGGCCACAAAACAGGTCTTAACTGACAATGGAATGAAATTAGAAATCAATAGCAGAAGGAAAACTGGAAAATCCACAAATATGTAGAAAGTAAACAACATATTTTTAAAGAGCCAATGGGTCAAAGAAGAAATCACAAGGGAAATTAGAAAATATTCAGATACAATTGAAAACAAAAACACAACATATCAAAACTTAGAAAATGCAGTAAATGCAGTGCTTAGAAGTAAATTTTTAGATGTAAGTGCTTACATTAAAAAAGAAGAAAGATCTCAAATCAACAACTTAGCTTTATGCATTAAGGAAGTAGAAAAAGCAGAATATACTATGACCACAGCTAGCAGATGAAAAGAATAATAAAGATTAGAGCAGATTTGAACAAAATAGAGAATAGAAAAACAACAGGAAAAAAATCAATGACACCAAGAAGATTCTTTGAAAAGATCAACAAAAATCAACAAATGTTAGCTAGATTAACTAAAACAAAAAAGAGAGAGAAACCTCAAAAAATTAAAATTAAAAATAAAAGAGGGGACATTACAACCAATTTTTTAGAAATAAAAAGAATTATAAGAGGATACTATGAACAATTGTATGCCAACAACATGAATAGCCTAGATGAAATGGATAAATTCTGAAAAAGATACAAGCTACCAAGACTGAATCATGAAGAAATAGAAAATCTGAACAAACTATACCTAGTAAGGATACTGAATGAATAATCAAAAACCTCCCAACAAAGAAAAGCCCAGGACCAGTAGGCTCAATGGTGAATTCTAACACACATTTAAAGAAGAATTAACACTAATCATCTTCAAACTCTTCCAAAAAATTTAAGAGGAGGAAACCTTTCCTATCTCATTCTATGAGGCCGGTATTACCCTAATATCAAAGCCAGAAAAAGATATTACAAGAAAAGAAAACTACAGACCAATGTCTCTTATAAATATTGATGCCAATTCTTCAAGAAAGTACTAGCAAACAGCATTCAACAGCATAATAAAAGGATTATACACCATAACCAGGTAGAATTTACTCCTAGTATGCAAGAATGGTTCAACATATATAAAATCAATCCATGTAATATACCACATTAACCGAATGATGGGGAAAAAATACATGATCATCAGAAAAAGCATTTGACAAATTTCAACAACCTTTCATGATAAAAAACACTCAAGAGGCCAGCCCAGTGGCATAGTCGTTAAGTCTGTGCACTCCACTTTGGCGGCACAGGATGTGAGGGTTCGGATCCTGGGCATGAACTTACACACTGCTTATCAAGCCATACTGTGGTGGTATCCCACATAAAAAAATAGAGAAAGATTGTCACAGATGTTAGTTCAGGGCCAATATTCCTCAAGCAAAAAGAGAAAGATTGGCAACAGATGTTAGCTCAGGGCCAATCTTCCTCACCAAAAAAACCAAACCAACAAAAAAAAAAAACACTCAACATACTAGGAATAGAAGGACAGCACCTCAACACAATAAAGGTCATA